AGTACCGTCCGGTCGCGTCACTTTATCCTCACACACTACGTATCTATCATCAAAATGCTTAATACACACTCTGGACAATTTATTTATTTGATAGTCGTACCTATGAATAGCTCTAAGCCATGTTTCAGCTCTTGTTGTATCTCTTGGGAATGAAAAAACAGTTACATGTTGTCCTGGGTCATAGTTACTTTTACAGCCAGGGACACAACACTTGTAAGGCATTGTTTACCAGGAAGCAAAACATAATTTTTAAATTACACAACTCATGAAGCGAACGCCACAAAAGCATTGGTTAGTGACAGTGACATTCAGTATGTAAACAAATGAGTATGGCGACGCACTGAAACCAATGACATTCCAAAAGACCACGTGTTGTCTAGCACTACGACGCCGCGTGACGGAGTATCGACCGCCTTCAGTTGTGACGTAGCGCCTGAAGTGGTGGGGGTGCAGCACGGCCTGTATATCTAGTGCGGCCTTGATTAATCACCATTAAATTCTTGGGAAGAATTAAAAACACAGAACAAAGGAAACACAATTTCAATTTATGTAGCTAAACTTATTTTACAGTGTTACAAATAAGGCGGGCATTTCAATTACAGTACTGTACGTACATCCCAAAAAATACGCATAAAAGTACACAATTCATTAAAAAAGTAGGCCCCTGTAAAATTAATACATACGTGTTTCAGCACGGTATTTAATTTTATATACCTAATATAATACTGAACACTGAATGGAAGTGCTCCGACGGCAACAAGACGTGAGTCACAGTGTTTCTTGTCACTGCATGCTTGATTTTTTGCTCCCATAGCGGCGCCTGACCGGATTACCAAGTACATCGGATTTCAAAGCGTCGGACTAGCGAGGGCGGGCTGTATTTAAAAAAGCACAAAACGACATATAGCTTAAGTTGTAGGAATTTTATAAAACACTTTAATGACATACCCAACCACTAAACTACTAAGCCCGTCACAGGGGTACCCCTCGAACCTGTATGGTGTTTCTTAATAACCTCAAAAATTTACTAAACCGAATGGCCTATCTCGTTTTGAGAAGTGGAAAATCGCGACCGCAGCAAACCATCACGAATACAGGACGTCAACGCAATCACGATACGGAAAATCATCACGTATTTCGCCGCGTTTGAGATATGATCAGAGATATGGCCGCAATCAAGAATCAAGAATCTTTATTGCCTTTGATCCATTCATATACAGACATTGGCATAGTCAATAAATTAAATAAATACATTACATTCTAACAATAATTACAGATACTTACACATGCTAAATTAACAGTAACGATACAGAGGTGAACAATAATATCAATAGGCTAACAGTCAATAACATGAATTAAATCTTAAAGTTAATACATGTAGTAATGTAGTATGTAGTAACAATACATGATAAAAAATCTTCTATTTTATAAAAAGGATTGGCAATAAGCCGATCAGATATTTTAATTTTTAATTGTTTTATAGTCACAAATCGGGCAGTGTCAGGCAGTGAAAAAACTTACATAGTTAATTTTAAAGCAGTTTCCTGTTTTTGCTAAGCGGTGCTGAGGAAGGTCAAGTTTGTTTTTTCCTCTTGTGTTGTGGCTATAAAAAGTTTTTCTATTATTGAAATCTGTAATATGTAGTTTGGTATACCTAAATGAGAATGTGGTAAATGTAAAGATTAGGCTAATAACAGTCATTACTTTGAGTTTTATAAAAAGTGGTTTGCAATGTTCAGTGTCACTTGTCCTAAAAATTGTTCTAATGATGTTTTTCTGAATTGTAAGTATGCCATACACAAAACCCGAATGGCCCCAAAGAGTAATGCCATACGAAAGATGGGATGACAAAAAGCATAGTAAGTCACCCTTAGATATTCAAAACTCACAATATCCCTAAGCTTGCACATGAGATAAGAAACTCTTCTCAGCTCCTGGACTAACTTATTTGCCATGCAGGTATTTATGTATTGTCTGAATTATTTTTAGTGAGTTAACACTTTTTTAAAAGACATGGGCAACAGACTAAGTTGGAGGTAAGTCCAACTCCAGTCCAACACTCCCTCACACATTAAATCAGCATACAAACATCATAATTCTGTACCATACATACCAGACTGTTAGACTGAACTGAAATTGTAGTTTTAAGCATGTTTCAATTGGGCGTCCAGTCCACCCTTTGCCACACGATTCCAGGTATTTTATAATCATAACAAACTCTTAACTGACAACCAACATGGCTTTCGGAAGAATAAATCTACATCCTCAGCTATAAGTTAACAGCACTAATTGAGTACGTCCTAGACCAGATAGAAAACGAACAATACATCGATCTCCGCCATCTTCCTTGATTACAGTAAGGCTTTTGACTGCCTGGGCCACGACCTGATATGCAAGAAACTCGAAAGACTCGGTATAAGAAACTCTGCGCTAGAATGGTTCAAAAGCTAAAGTCGTGGAACTGAAAAACTTATCAAATGAAGTCACAGAAAGTTTCAAATCTTCAAAAAGCAAGCTGACGAGAGGAGTTCCACAAGGCTCTGTATTAGGCCCGATTCTATTCATCTTATTGACTAATGACTTCCCCAAACAAATTGAGAGTGAAAATGCTGTTGCAATCATGTATGCAGATGACACAACCATTTTGATCAAGGACATCACAGCCCAAAGCCTTTACCTTAATTCAAAATCGATCTTAAATAAAGCTATCCTCTACTCAAAGAACAATGACTTAGCAATAAACCCCACAAAAACTACAACTCTGAATTTCAGTAAGAAAAAAGACATAGTCCCTCAATTAGAGGATGTAACAATAGAAAACCACACGAAATTTCTCGGTGTTATCCTTGATAACAAACTAACATGGAAAGAGCACATCAACCACCTAAGCAAAAAAATCAGTACTGGAATATATGTCGTCAGAAGAATAAACTACATAGGCGGACTCTCTGTGGCTAAAACAGCTTACTTCGCACTGGTAGAGTCGCATCTTATGGCTTGACTGTGTGGGGAGGAACTTCAACAAAAAATATGAATCGAATTCTTGTCCTTCAAAAGAAAGCCATAAGAGCCCTCGCCAACCTTGTCCCACCGGTTACAGACTTGCAGATTAGCATTCGCAAACCTAGGAATCCTCACAGTGGTGTCTCTCTACATACTTGAAACCATAAAGTATGTGAATGAAATAAACACCCCAAGAAACCAAGACCTGCACCACTACAACACCCGTTATGGCTCCAAATTTGCACTACCAGTTCACCGAACAACTCTTTGGGAGAAAAAACCTTCCTACACCGGCTGCAAGCTGAGGAACCATCTACCTGACTACCTGAGAGAACTGACTGGCAATAAGCTACACCAGGAGTTGAAGAAGTGGCTAATCGCAAGACCCTTCTACTCATTAAAGGAATTTTATGAAAATTATGGACATTAACATGTACAATTCACTATTGTATTGACACTATTGTAATTCTTAACGTATTAACAATAAAAAATATTGTATTGTATTGTATTGTATTGTATTGTAGGCTATAAAAATATTCTAACGATTATATATATATTATTTTCTATTTAATAAATCAATCCTTCTATAAAAGGGTGACACAAACAACTTATCGGTACTCAAGAACTATAAGTTAGGCTACAACGTTAAAGGTAGTCTAATAAGACTCTAACATTCCTTTAACCCTCCGAGTGTCCCTAGTTTTGGCCTTAATGTTTGCCTATTTTTTGCAAGGTCGCAAATACAATAATAAGTAATGTCGCATTTGCAAGGTTTTATTAAAACGGATCTGAGAAGCTTAAAAACAATGTTAATTATACTGTTCTATATACCATTTTGTTTTGAAAATCATGGGCTTCAATATTATACATAAAACATAAGGAACATTTGTTTGAAAAAAAATTTTTAGGTAAAAAAAAAATATTTTGGAAAATTTTCAAAAAAAAAATTAGTTCGCGCTCAATGAAATTGTATAAATTATAGGCCTATAAATATTTGAAAATAGCCACTTTGTTCTAAATTTTATGAAGATTACAAATACCTATATAATAATATAAGGAAGTAGATTTGCAAATAAATAAGTTATGGGCAAAAAACAGATTTCAGTAGGCCTACATTCTAGCGTTTAGCTAAGAATGCATAGCCTAACCATAGCTAGGAATCTGGCTGATAATTTACATCAATATCACTAGGCTACGTACTTCTTCAGGATCATCAACCAGCCCTTCAAAATCACTTTTTAAAATCTTCTTATAATGCACCACGTATATCACTACTTTTGATTTGTAACACTAAAACAATGATAAACGTAATAAAACACATCAGTCATCGGTGCGAGGTTAACCAAGCTGTTTACAAATACGCACGTCAGCTGTCTGCTACAATTATGATCGACTCGAGAAAAAAAAGCGCTTAGAGACAGACCTCGGGAGAAAGCTTAGAATCTGCCAAATAAAACGATACCTAACTCGATCCAGGTCAATCCGATTTTGTCAGTCATAGAGCCTTCGCCGTAAACAGTGTTTGTGAGTCGAAAAATCGACACAACACACTACACAAAGTGTGTTATGTGTTGAAAAATCGACACATAACACTAGGAGGGATATAAGTTATGCACTCAAACCACGTTAACAAAATTCCTGACTCCTAGGTATTTATTTCTAATTTAGGCCTAGGTGGCCATCAACAATTTTTGACCAGACGTTATTAATCGTCTCAAAGGTTTAAGTTTAAATAAGCATCACCATCCTTGTATGAAGAGGATATAGGCTTGGTCCCAGATAGCACACAAGCTTTTACTGGCTTGTAAATACCATTGTCATAGACTTACCTAAAATCAACATAGGCCTAGGCCTAAATTAATACCATGACATAGGTCTAGGCATGGACAGTGTTTTGTTCATTGCCTAGGCTATCTAACTTAAGTCACAACATGAGTGTGATGGGAAAAGAAATGATTGATTTTGGTTAATATTAATTATTAATGTGTATCACTTACCCAATTTAACTAGGTAAACACTGTAGGCATCAGCATTGACTACGAATGGTCATTGGTCAATCCATGAATCCTATGGCATGAGGCCAGACTCAGGCCCAGGCACCGACACTGACTAACTTGGTTCCGGTTGGTTTGGTATTAATGCAAATAATGCGGTTTAATAACTTAGTATGTTTTCTGTGGCATTGCATGCAGATAATTACTAACTAATGCAGTACTGCTTCAGCAAACTGCAACTGCAAGGCTGCAACAATAACACAATAACTAACTAACATAACAAGTAGCGAAGCGAAGCGAAGTGCGAGTCTCGCTCGAACTTGAACTGTACTACTGCAATGCAACACGCAAATTGCAACGCAACAACGCAACTCGCAACTGCACTTAGTGCACTTTGATCTCGATTTCAATCTGAACTGACTGAACACTAACACTACCACAGTCCACAACCTCTAACCGGAAACTGTTATCAGTGGTATCCCAGTTCCTTTTTCTTTTTCTATTTCCTGCTTTCCTCTCCACTCCTAACTCAGTCCCATCAGAAATTCTAAATTAAGTTACTATTACAATGACACAAAACCCCCGTCGCAGCACACCTGCAGACTAAGCGAGTTTCCTTTTGCCTGATTGGATTTACATTAAAATGTCTCCTTAAAAATTATCACATTTTTATTCCATATTTAAATAGCACTAGTTTAACGAGTACTTACTAAGAAAAAAGTAGGTTTGCTGCAACAGGAAGGGTAAAGAAGTGTTTATTTAGCGAATTTCCCAGGGAATAAGCTATTGCCGTAGTACTCATGGTAAAACCTGGACCCGGGACAAATATAACTTTTCGTTTTGAGGTCCCTAGAGGCCAAAAACACCATCCGTTCATATTCATATGTATTTAAATCATGGTGGAACTTCCACCATGTATATACAGGGTGTTTGGTACTCAGTGTGAAAAAATTTTTTTGGTTTAAGTACAAAGTAAATGCAGTATGATGATGCATATAAAATGTCCCAAGTCTAAAAATTAGCTTCCCAAAGAATTATTTTATGTTTTTCAAAAATAACTATGTTTTTAAACTTAATACAGCTATTTCTCAATTACCTGTAAATGGATTTGAGTAGACAATGTCATTTTCGTGTTCTAAATTAAATTTTGAATAAGAATAATACAAAATGACAGAGGATCAGTTGTAAAAACTCCATCGTAAATAGATTCAAAGATAAAAATTAAGATGTCTGATAAAAATGCAAAAAACATTGGTCAATTGCATTTGTTCACACCCTGTATACAGGAAAGTGTCGGAATAATATGTTAAAAACTGCGCCATTTTATAAGCTTTCCAACCATATGCTACACTATTGAGGTTTAGATATTTTTTTGTTTATTTTAGTGGTTTGAATGCCAGAAAACAGGGAACTTTTTTACTGTTTTTACTGTTCAAGCTAAAGCAAAAATACAACTTTTGCTTAATACATGCTGACTTTCTATGTTTTAAATGATAAAGACGCCATGCTTTGTAGTCTTCAAACCACGAAAGCGTACATAAGCAGACAGAAAGCTCAATGGTGTAGCATATGGTTGGAAAGCTTATAAAATGGCGCAGTTTTTAACATATTCCGACACTTTCTTTTATACAGAGTGTGAACAAATGCAATTGACCAATGTTTTTTGAATTTTTACCAAACATCTTAATTTTTATCTTTGAATCTATTTACGATGGAGTTTTTACAACTGATCCTCTGTCATTTTGTATTATTCTTATTCAACATTTAATATTGAACACGAAAATGACATTGTCTACTCAAATCCATTTACAGGAATTGTACCCCCCTGGAATTGTACCCCCCGGAATTGTACCCCCTGCCAACATCAAAATATTTACGTACGGGGTGGAATTGTACCCCCCTGGAATTGTACCCCTCATCAGAAAGCCAAATGTGTACGGGGTGGAATTGTACCCCCCGGAATTGTACCCCCCTCTTGGACAGCTAGCTTGGCTTGTGTACGGGCTGGAATTGTACCCCCCACCTACTCGATAAACTTAATTGGTATTATGAAAATGAAGTAGTAGATAATGCCTTATATATATATTTTTATATATTTTTTTATTGTAGTTATTCTTGAATTGGCTTTTTCTTTCAGCCAAATTATTACCAATTAACTGTCATGTCATGTTTCATAAATATATATTTTTTTTTTCAATTTCTAATATTAATTTCCTGATAGCGGAAATCTCTCACGCACGGGCAGTAGCCTATGTGAGAGGCATTTCATATTAATTACTAAGTCAGTATATTATTATAATCATTACATAACTATAGTAAAATTGATACTGACAACCCTAACAACACCAGATATCCATTGGATATTCAAAGTGGTTGAAATATGTCTAAAGATATCTAAATGTAATTAAATATATTTTTAAAATATCTTATCTAAGAAATCTGTAAAATATCTTTTAAGATATTTTATAGATATTTAATAGATATTAAAAGTTTCACAGTAGATATTTATATAATGTTTAGATGCAATATCCTACAAATATTGTACATATATTCAGTACTCGATATCTACGAACAGATATCCTGTAAATATCAATCCTACATTGACGATTGGATATTGATTATAAAGACGATAAATGCTGATAAGTGCATTATTGTTTCATCTAGAATATTTAATATTACAGTTAGCCTTATAAAAACACAGGATCTAAAATCATCCAACAAATCAACAAACACTAATGAAACCAAAACTTAATTGTAGTTTTTATGTGGTTATTTTGGTAGATTAATTATATTATGTTGTCTCCGTTACTCTAATCCGTGCTACGCGTTAAAAAAAGCAAATAATTTTAATCAGCCCAAAGTGGACAAAAATTGCATTAGCGATGTTTACAAGAATGACTACACTTTTCCAAAGGGAGTGTTTCATTAAAGTAAAACTTTTTCAGTCAGACAGAAGGGAAGAAATATGCATTACACCACGTAATATAATAACACAAGTCTCGCACGACCCAAAAGTTGTGAGAAACAAAAAAAAAACTGTTAAGCCATTCCGTAAAAACATTATACAATTGACTTTGAATGTATGATTAAACACCTTTTTATAATAATAATACACCTGCTTATAATAATAATAATTCAAATATTTTCTTTTTAATTAAAATTCTGCAACTTATTTGAGGAAATTATATGGGTTGATCAATTTAAGGGTAAATATTAATGAATCATATAACCATTATAATAACATTACTAATGGTAATTAATTAATCTATATTCAGATATCAGTATTCTCTCCATCTGCCAGAAAAACAATTAATTTAACAACTTGATGCCTAAACAAAATCATAGTATCAAAAATATTTAAGTATTGCGACCATTGCAGCTGTTGGCTCCTCTTTTACCGCTTGAAAACTAGTTATATCAACAATCACAGGTAGCTCAGAGGTAAGGTAAGAGTTTCATAAGATGAAGGTATCAGGTTCGAAACCTGTCCGGGTATAAAAAATTTTGTCTAGTTTTTTTCTTCAAAAATTGTTTTTATGAACTATTTAATGAAAATGTTCAACTGATAAATGTGCTTTTCAGACTAAATCTTTATTATTTTGTGTTTTTATCTATTTACTATATATTTGTTGTGATCTGTCATCAGATATCCGTATAACATTCAGTTTTAGAAGTTCTTAAGATATTGTAAATCTAATATCTGTTGAACGTAGAAATTAGTGACATTTAAACTTCTTCACAATATCTAACAAATATAAATATCTGGATATTGATCATCTATAGATATCTTAAATATCCAAGTTAAATGTTTATAAGATATTCTATAGATAACTCTGTGCTGTCTGGGAAAGTACTGTAATAATGTATTACTTACTGAAATAAAAATTATTTTGATTTGATTTTGATTTGATTTGCCTTCTACAGTGACATATGTTGGATTTTCAAACCTGTACAGAATATTATAGTGATTGTACTAAGGAACTATAATTGTGAAGATATTATCCAAAAATCTGGCTTCGCCACTTTACTTCGCCTCGGGCTATATGCATATTTTATTTATTTATGCATATTTTAAATCACGTTTTCGGTAAATTACCACATTGTATCCGAGATCGCAAGAGATTATAACAAACAGCGTTGCCGTAATCGTGGGAGATGACGACAAATTTGCTGTAATCATTTGGGATAACTGCGATGTTCTTGTGTTTGCAGGATATACCTGTTGCCTTCCTTAGTGACTTAATAAAAGGCCAAGCAATATAGAATAAACGTTTACGAAATTAACGCTGAGCTTGATTCCCTCATGGTCAAAGCTTCTAAATAATTTTATAACCCAAGCCGATTGATTTTTTTTAAAACGATACAAGCAGTGCAAATCCTAACAAACTTTGTTTTCAAGAGGAGTCGCAAGCAGCGAATTTCGGCTTGGTTATATAAATTTGAAATAGGTTGATTACTGCACATAGGCCTAATAACTAAGCTAAACTAGTTTGTATACGATAACTATATGCTATAAGAATGGAATGGTTGTTTGTTCACGTCACTCTTTTCAACGTAATTTAATATGACCGTGAAAAGAAGTTAATGTATTTCATTTTTGTTCATTCAAACATAATATGCATTATTGTTCATTCGGTAACAAATTATGAACAGTTATTACTGGCAAAGGTGGACAAAATACCTGTTGTAAAATTTAGTTGTAGGTATCTGGTACAAAGTATTTCACGGTTTGTCAAAGTTTTAACCTTTGTGAATTTAAGCTAACCCATGGACGGTTAGTACTTGGGAAGGTTAAGAAAATATTAATGAATAACGTACAAAGAAGTCTGTTAGGCCTCTCACACGTTACTCGGAATGGCCTTAATTTGCAGTTTCTTAGAATACCCTTTCACAACAAGCAATTCATTAGGTGTCGGGTAACTTGGTTCAGTTTACTTTCGTGTGATTCCCCTCTAATATCCAACATAACTATTGTTTTGATTTTGGTTGGTAATCATAATAGACAAGCTCCTCGGTTAAATGGGGGGGGGGGTACAGTTCCGGGCTGTACATCTTCTTCTGCGGTGACCAGGGGGTACAATTCCAGGGGGGTACAATTCCGGTCCTACAAGAAGGGCTAGACTGACGGGGGGTACAATTCCGCCCCGTACACTGGTCAAATAAAAGTGAGTTCTAACTGAGGGGGTACAATTCCAGGGGGGTACAATTCCGGTCCTACAAGAAGGGCTAGACTGACGGGGGGTACAATTCCGCCCCGTACACTGGTCAAATAAAAGTGAGTTCTAACTGAGGGGGTACAATTCCAGGGGGGTACAATTCCGGTCCGTACAGTTTTTTAGATGCCAGTGGATTTAATCGAACCACTCGTGCATAACAATATCAAAGTTTCATGAGGGGGGTACAATTCCAGCCCGTACACGCCGTTTTGGTCGAGAAAATGAGACGTCATCGTGACGTCACTAACCTGCAGGGGGTACAATATCGGATGGCCGCCAATGGATGGTTCGGCGGTGGGGCACACGGGAGGGACTAAGGCTAACATATCTTGTAGTGTCAGCGTTCGCCGCTAGAACAGCTAAGTTGAAAAAATTTAAATTATTTTTTTTTTTTAATTTTTAGTTATAAAATTAACTTTTTAATTATAAAATATTGTTTTAAAATTATAAAAATTAATTTTTAAAATTAAACTGTCATAACATAACCTAACCAACCAGACTTGCTGATAATATAAAAACTATATAAGATAAAAATCTAATTAATGATTAATGATAATTTTTAATTAATTATAAAATTAATTTTAAAATTTAGTATTATAAAATTAAACTGTCATAACCTAACCTAACCAACCGAACTTGCTGATATGAAAAATTTGTTGACAAAAAGTTAATACTGCCAGCGGGATTTGAGCCCGGGACCTCCTGAACACCATTCCGAAACTCAACCAACTATGCCACGAACGCCGCTGAAATCGCTCTTTTCGTTAACGGTAATCGTGTTGCCTCTAGAGAAGAAGACATTAGCCACTATAGATATGACGTCACTACACCTTTAGCCTTAGTCCCTCCCGTGTGCCCATTCCGATGGTCGGTCGGTTGGATTGGAGTGGAGAGTGGAGTTAGAGTGACTGCGGTGACTGCCGCCTGCGGACTGGACTGGACTGATGGACTGGTCTGGTTGTCTGGACTTTACCTACCACCCTACCACTTCACTAATCCCCCAAGTGATGGAATGGGCACACGGAAGGGACTAAGGCTAAAGGTGTAGTGACGTCATATCTCTAGTGGTTAATGTCTTCTCTTGAGGCGACACGATTACCGTAACGAAACGATGTGATTCCAGCGGCGTTCGTGGCTTAGTTGGTAGCGTTTCGGATAGGTGTTCAGGAGGTCCGGGGTTCGAAACCCGTTGGCAGCACTAACTTTTTGTCAACAAATTTTTCATATCAGCAAGTTTGGTTGGTTAGGTTAGGTTATGACAGTTTAATTTTATAATACTAAATTTTAAAATTAATTTTATAATTAATTAAAAATTATAAGTAATCATTAATTAGATTTTATCTTATATAGTTTTTATATTATCAGCAAGTCTGGTTGGTTAGGTTATGTTATGACAGTTTAATTTTAAAAATTAAAAATTTATTTTATAATTTTAAAACAATATTTTATAATTAAAAAGTTAATTTTATAACAAAAAATAAAAAATTAATTTAAATTTTTTCAACTTAGCAGTCCTAGCGGCGAACGCTGACACTACAAGATATGTTAGCCTTAGTCCCTCCCGTGTGCCCCACCGCCCAAGTGATGACTTTTACTGTGTGTTGGTTGGTCTATGCTTTTACTGAGTCGAGTCTGGGGAGTCTGGGCTGGGGCGGAGTTGGCGGAGTCTTGGAGTAGAGTTTTGCTGGTGTTGTCGCCGTTGTCGGTTGTTCTTTGTTAGTTTGTTACCTGTTACGGTGTAGCCTTAATTTCGTTTGTCAAAATTAAACGGCATATTTACTGAATTAAGCTGGTAATGTGATCTAAGTCGTGGTGGTAAGATATTTCTTTATAATAGTGGAATACCATAGGCTCAATAAATATTTGTAACTGTTCGGCGTGTTGAAGATTCTAAAATGCAGAAACATAGTGTTGAAAGGGTTGATGCGGTGTTATGTTATCGGTTAACCTTCTGACCAAGCACCACTGTAGTTTATGTGTGTTCTGGACACTGTGTCTATATCCCATCTTCTTAATAAACTCGGTGCATTTTAATCACAACGACCAGTGAACATGAGTTTTTCAAGCGATGAAGTAAATTTTTTGGTATATAGGTACTTACAGGAATCAGGTAAGTGCAACCTTAACCTAAAATTGGACTGCGTTAGACCTATTTCTAAAGTTAGGGTACCGTAATTATTTCGTATAGGTGCCTCCAAACGAATTTTTAATTTTGATATCTTAGGCCTACTTCATAGTTTTTTACCTCCTGAATCCAAATAGGCTATGCCATTATTTTTCACAGCTGATGAATATTTCTCAAGATATCGCCGTAATAATATACAATATTACAATAAACAAGGTAGGATGGATGACATTTACAAGTGGAATGAACTATGGGTTAAATAAACCAACCAGCTGATTTGTTTTCAATCATAGTCAAGCAAATGGAAGTGACAACTTTTATTAAGCCCCCCATACACGGGCGAGCATGCTCGTGACGGTGTTGGCGGCGAACATACTCGCTCGTGTGTGGGATCCGCGAGCCTTCGTACCAACGAACATGTTGGGCTCAGCGCTCGGCTCGTCGCCATAATATAGTCACCACAAATGGCCACAACAGCATTAGCATCCATTTGAATTTAATCAAAATAAATTAATTAAATATATTAAATTTAAATAAATAAACACAACTTGACTGTCACAGCTCAAGAGAAGCAAGAGAAGGCCTACTGCGTGGTAGCAGCGATCATGTTCTTGAGCATGCTCGTCCGTCTGTTGACAACGCCGAGCATGTTCGCCAACATGCTTGCGAACATGCTTGCCCGTGTATGGGGGGCTTTAGCTAACTCTGATTGTGCAATATGAAAATCACCTGATTAACACTTTTCACTTTCTAAGACCAACGAGTTAATAATGTATTATTGTTACCAGTATTTTATCCTTATTAACTAGGGTGGTCTGCCGTTACACTTTAGACGCATAAATGATCGAAGCATTTTTAAAGATTGCCAATGGCTAAAGCAGCAAACAATATGTTCCCTTCCAACAGATTCACCGTTTGTTTGCCCAATATTATTTAAGTTCCAAAGAATGATAAATTTATCTGATAGTTCATTTATTTAGTTAAGGATAAGAATAAGAATTGATAAAAGTTTATTAGGCATGTGTATTTGACATTTCGTTTAAACGGTCAAGAGCTTCTTTCTTCTTTGCCCAAGATCCGTGTCTGTTAATTGACATCAATCGGTCTAGTGAAAATGGTGGCTCCAGAAGCAGGCCTTCAAATAATAGTTATGTAAAAATAGAATGGGTTATTTGCCTTCAGCCAAATAAGTGCTTGCTGTAGTTTTTCTCGTCGAACTTTGAAATCGATATGGCCAAAGACGCCTTGACGTTTGGACAATGATGACTTTTAAGTTTTCTGGCAGTGTAGGTAAGACATATGCTATTTCATTAATATCTTGCTCAACATTAATGATGTTACCTTTGTAGTGAAACTGGCCAACCTGACCATTTGCTTGTACTTTGTAAATGCGCATAGCAGGATGTACTCGTGCAAACAACATTTGTTCTACAATCGTCAGGTCAGTTAATTCGTTCGGGACACTTGACACATCCATATTATTTAACGCCGTGAATTTAGTTGCATTTGAACGACAACGCGAACAAATCGGTGATTGGTTTGAAGCGGTTAGTTGTTGGCAATGACCGTTAGTGCAAGTGTAAAATTTTAGTGCATCTAATTCATTTTGGAATTGATTAGCTAACTGCCTATCATTATCAGCTTCTTCCGCCACTGCTTCATCTGGTTCTCCTTGTTCACGACGCCACTCTCTTACAATATTTGCATTGTTGGTGCTACGACCAATATTACGACGTGGCCTATGAGGCATGCTCAAAAGAAATATAGCAAAACTGTTACTTCCATTGATAAACTGTTAGATTCCAACTTTAACCTAGGATGAAAGTAAGCATTGAAATGTAAACAAAACAGTTACAAACAATTAACATAAGTTTATCTTATTTAAATGAAACGAGATAAACCCATATGTAGGCCTAATAACCCCAATATAATTTTTCTTTCAACTTACATTAAAATAACAAGCGAAATTGTGTGACTCGTAAAATAAAATCCAGAAGGAAATTTGCAAATATTTTTTACCAAAACATTGTGCTCAGTATTCTTTAGCTGTTGGCCAAATTTCATATCAATTGGTCGAAAGCCATTACATTCTGATGCTCTTACAAAGAAGTTACAAAGTCAGGGAAAGTGAGCTTCGCTCAATAATTTATTGATTTATATTTCACCTTTTAGAAATTACATAATAAAATGGTGCCATTCTAACATAACCTAACCTAACCAAACCTCTAGAATGTGTAAGCAAACTCCTTTTGATGTCAGAAAAGGCATGTCAGGGTGATAGGTCGTGCTTTATGTGAATTGGTGACTGCATTAAGTCCTTAGAAGGTAGGTTAGATTAGGTAAGTTAAAGTTTAGGTTATAATGTATCGAGTTGTTAGTTTATGTTGCCTGAGGCCTACTGTTTTTGTAAAATTAAAATCCTGAGAAAAACACTTCAAATTACTTTTCAAAAATGCTTGCATTTTTGAAATAGTATTTGAAGTGTTTTTTCTGGATTTTAATTGTACAAAAACAGTCTGCAGGTGACATAAAGTAACAACTTGATACATTATAACCTAAACTTTAACTTACCTAATCTAACCTACCTTCAAAGGACTTAATGCAGTCACCAATTCACATAAAGCACGACCTATCACCCTGACATGCCTTTTCTGACATCAAAAGGAGTTTGCTTACACATTCTAGAGGTTTGGTTAGGTTAGGTTATGTTAGAATGGCACCATTTTATTATGTAATTTCTAAAAGGTGAAATATAAATCAATAAATTATTGAGCAAAGCTCACTTTCCCTCACTTTGTAACTTCTTTGTAAGAGCATCAGAATGTAATGGCTTTCGACCAATTGATATGATATTAAAACGGATCTGAGAAGCTTAAAAACAATGAATTCTACTGTTCTATATACCATTTTGTTTGGAAAATCATGGGCTTCAATATTACCTATACATAAAACATAAGGAACATTTGTTTAAAAAAAAATTTTTAGGTAAAAGAAAAAAATTATTTTGGAAAAATTGAAAAAAAAAATAAGTTCGCGCTCAATGAAATTGTATAAATTATAGGCCTATAAATATTTGAAAATAGCCACTTTGTTTTAAATTTAATGAGTATTACAAATAATCATATAGGCCTAGTGAGGTAAGTTATCAAATAAATAAGTTATGGGCAAAAAACCGATTACGGTACATAGCGTTTAGCTAAGAATGCATAGCCTAACCATAGCTAGGAATCTGGCTGATAATTTACATCAATATCACTACTACTTCTTCAGGATCATCAACCAGCCCTTCAAAATCACTTAAATCTTCTTATAATGCACCACGTATATCACTACTTTTGATTTGTAACACTAAAACAATGATAAACGTAATAAAACACATCAGTCATCGGTGCGAGGTTATCCAAGCTGTTTACAAATACGCACGTCAGCTGTCTGCTACAATATTTTCGGAACTAAAATGAAGAAACAGACATCAGGAGAAAGCTCTGAATCTGCTGAAAAGAACGATACCTAACTCGATCCAGTTCAATCCGATTCAGTCAGTCATAGAGCCTTCGCCGTAAACGATGTTTGTGTGTCGAAAAACGACAAGTGACACTACACAAAGTGTGTCGTGAGTCGATTTTTCGACAAGTGACACTCGGAGGGTTAAATAAGAACTACATGTAATTAGTCCACCAGTCCATCTATATCTCGATAATGTGACGAAATTCCTATTATAGCCTAGAGAACATCAGAATCTACAGACTACAGAATCACTTGAAATGTTATCCATCATATCTTTTTTATTGTAATGTTAAGTATGTTTTTACGGCGATATCTTGAGAAATATTCATCAGGGGTGAAAAATAATGGTAGGCTATATTTGGATTCAGGAGGTAAAAAACTATAAAGTAAGATATCAAAATTAAAACTTCGTTTGGAGGCACCTATACGGAATAAATGTTTAAGAAAGCATGGGTGGTAGCATGGGTGGTTCAACACTTGAATAAATGTTTAAGAAAACAAAAATAGACTATATAGAAATAATTAACATATTTAGATGCAAAGTTACAGACTTATCACAGGTTGTTCCAGGAACTATTCAATCCTGGAAAAAGGATTTCTTAAGAGCCAGTCACTGAATTTTCTTAAAAATATTTTTTGCGGATATTTATTTACATTAACTAGCTGTACCCCCGGGCTTTTCCCCTTTTTAACTTCATAAGTATTCGCATGGCTCAATCACGTCCCGGTTGAAGTTCGTTCGCTACGCTCACTCACCTTTAGGTTGGAGCTCGTTCGCTACGCTAACTCGCCTCCAGGTTGATGTTCGTTCGCTACGCTCACTCACCTTTTGATTGCAAATTAGCTTTTGTCATAAATTTTAAAAAGTCATCCTTTTTATTGTTTATAATACTTTGATAAAGGTTTTTATGTTTTAATATTTAACATTGGAGAATTTAAACGTTGTTAAGTGCACAGGTGTGCTGCGATTGGGGTTTAATACATTTGGACTTATTCAAAAGTAAAATAGTTTTCTGTGCTGCACTCTGTAGAAACACTGTGGCACTATTTCAAATCATGACTAATGCTAATATAGAATGTTGTAATTATTCAAACCTACAAAACAGTTGGTAAAAGTAAACATCTGCTTTTAAATTATATTTATTTGTAAACATTGTAGATCAAAAAGTCTGACATTGGCCCACTTAAAACCCTCTGGGGCAGAGCCCTTTTGCTAGATCTGCACCAAACTTCACTCGAACCATCCTTGAAAGATGCTTAATAATGCCTGAAAGTTTCATTACAATCTGTCGAGCGGTTTCGGAGTCCATAACGTATATACATACACACACACATACATAGTTCCTCTTTTATAGATATAGATAACTACCGTACCTTATTATATGCTTTCTTACTTGTAACAACATGGCTATTTAAAGATTTGCTCAAACGGAGGTGCTGGTACCGGTAACTTATTTTATGTCTAAGTACCACGAGTA